AAAAAAAAAAAAAAAAAAGCCAGATCAGTGCATCTCCAAGCTAAACACACGGAAGTGGCTTATACTTGAATGTTTCAGAATATGTAACGAAATGTGTCAAAGGTCACTTCTTTACCGTATTGCTTTCCAATGCCAGTTGACTGACTTTATTCTTCTGCCTCATTTAAATTCATCAAGCTGAACAGAGTCAAAGGAGAACTAACTATTCAAATGAATTAATCAAATGAATAAATTAGATAAATATGAACATAATAAATATTTGCAGCTTTCTTTAAGGTCTGAAACACAGATTTAAGATTTGCACTGATTATGATTTTTTTATATATATAAGCTATAACACACAAAAGAAAAAAAACCGAGGAATAATGTTTAAATACATTATTGCCGTTTATAAATCAAAGCATATTACACTCAAAAAGAGAGTATCAAAGTGGATGCTGTTGGTTTATGAGTTAATAAAACCGAAAACAATAGGAATTCTTAGCTTTAATACGTTTAATGAATGGGGGCCAAAAAAAAATAAAATATTTTTTTACTATTTCACCTGCCAATCACCAATGAACCTCCATAAAAGGAAAATTGGCAAACTCTGATTTCCCATTGGTTAATTTCTATTCAGAATCTATCAAAAAATCTTGAGCCTCATGTGATGTCACTGACCTAAATACACACAGGGCAAATTTATTTCTTTTTCTTTAGCGCCTGCTTGTCAAAACATTGTATCTTGTGAAATTCTGTTACAGAAATCTCTTTATTTTTATTACTCACTTGTGTATTTTTTATTTGCAGTGTACATTTGGTAATGGGTAATAAATAAATAAATAAATAAATAAAACACCACTGGATTGCCTCTTTTAAAATGACATTCAGCTACTGTTGGGTTATCTCCTGAATTAATTTTGTGCAAAACTTCTCTGAGGGAAACCACAGTGACACATCGATGAGGGGGCAAAGCCGCAGAGCTGTGTTTTCTTGTCTTACATAGGCTTTAATCCTGGGCGAACTAATTAAACGCACATTTCATACTGAAATCCTAATTGCCCACTTTGTGATGTTTCCCCGCTGGACTGATGTGATGATCCGCCCGGCCGCCTTATCTGCGTTTGCTTTGAGGGGACAACAAAAGCGGAAAAAAAAGGTGGAAGATTATGCGTGTCTGCGCGGAGAAACTAGGGCACCAAACGGCGACCTCCTTTTTCGCATTATTTCCTGACTATATCGACTGTCTATTGTGGGACTGTTTGGACGTCATGCTTAAATTTGCAACAGCAGCTGAAGAAGCGCAGGTTTGTCACGCCGCTGTTAAAACTTCTAGGCTGAAGGACAGCGGATTGTTTCGGCCACAGCAGCGTCAATATCCGCTGACCCAGTCTGGGAGAAATGACATCCGCTGCTGTCGAGTCGAAACACGAACTGCTGCTGTAGTCCGACTAATTTCTAAAAATAAAGCAAATAAATAAAGACAAAAGCGGTATTAATACTTACCGTTATGCCTCAAGTTCATGTGTGAAGTTTGTTGGCTGGTCACTTCCTCCTCCGCGGGTTTTTTTATTTCCTATTATTTTCCCCCAGCAGAAAAAAACACTACAAAAAATATCCCTAAATGCGGCAATTTTGGCTTGTAAAATGCTGGTAAAGAGGATATATCGACAGGCACTCTCCAAGAGGAGCTTCCCGGGTCTCGAAAGGCTGTAAACCCCGTCTCCCGCGTCTCTCTCCCCGGCTATGTCGCAGAGTTCATCGGGGACACGGAGAAGCTGCCGAGTCCTTCGCCGCCGACGAACACAGATGCGCCGAAGTTCAACTGAGGTGAAGCACTTACACAACCTGCCCCGGTGTCCGAGCAGACACACAACGCTACTCTGAATCTAATTTAATAACTCCAAATGTGTGCGAGAGAGAGGAGAAGACGGCTCATAACGGGGAAATATGTGTAAAAACTAGGCTGCGTAGAGATGATTATCAGAGGCAGCCTCACTCCCCCTCTCCTCTCCTGCCCCCTCCGCCGCTCGAAAAAGCACTATTTGCTGTTTTATTGAACTCCCAGGAAGGACTTTAAGGAAAAATGCACTCATTTTTATTCGTAAAAAAGCTAATTATAGCCACTGAAAAATAAATCAAAATTTAAATTATGAAGCACAACAGCATCCTAGAACAAGTTATCACTTATTTGAAGATGGAACAAAGCTGAAGTTCAGTGTTACACCTTTAGCAACTTTTAACTCCATCAGAAGTTATTTTCCAATTACATATTCACTGTTTTTTTTTCCTTTTCAAATATTATATTACATGGTTTGAAATATTAACAACATACAATTAAAAAATGTTTAATATGTTATAATGGCTAGCTAAAAAAAACTGTTAACAGTCGAATTATACAATAAAATTGCTAATGATCTAAATGTGTTCCTCCGCACTCAAATTAGATCCCTTATCAAAAACATTCAAAATGGCAACTTTTATTTCACTATGGCAAAACAACTCTGATTTTATGGATATTCCAACTTGTAATGGCCTATTGTTTCTCCTCTTGTGAGTTAATAAATATCAGTTTCTCTCCCCGACGTCACAAGTACTTTAAAGACAAGTCCGGACGTGCTGCTGTTGCCCAATTAATCTCGCAAATGCTTTATTGATGAAACATCAGAGGAGGGAGTGAAAAACATGGATATTAAAGGACCACTCTGACATTTACAGAAGTTTTTCTGCATCGGAGCCCCTGTAAAAAAATAAAATAAAATAAAATAACCGGGTAAAGTATGCTTAATCAGAGCAGCTTTTATTCTGTATGTTGGATGGGTTCCAGATAGTACTGCATTTTATATTTATTTGAAATCAAAGAAAAGGCTTATATACTTCCTCGTTTTTTTATAGCTAGACAGCTAATGAAATATCATACAAACCTTTTCCTAAAGATTGTCTGTTTAGTACGTCTGGGCAAACCATAACACTTTAAGTGTTCAGGAAGTTATTAATGTATTTTTAATATATTATTATGCTTCTTAAGGCTGGATAAAAGTTATATTATGATTAATACCCACATTTAAAAAAAAATACACATCTTTACAAAGAAATATTACAATGTGATTTGACTATTTTTTTTAAATGTACTGAACCAATTTTGTTTCAAAAAGAATTAAACTCTTCTGGAATTTTCTGACTTAGTTCTTTACTTACAAAAAAGGTGCATGAAGAACTTTAACATTAAAGAATTGCATCGCTATTTAATGTTAATGAAGCTAAAATGACAACGTATTTTGTAAGCTTTTGTTAGAAGCACACACACACACACACACGCACACACACACACCCAGACACACACACATGTACTAGCTGAGAAAACCTGCTTTACAAGGTGTGTGCGTGCATGTCTGTGTGTAGTAAAGTTGCATTCAAGTGATATTACAGCTGAACCCAGTGACCGGGCTCTGCAACCTATATCCATAAGCACAGAAATAACCTGCAGGATTAGAGTTTATGTGTGTGAGAGAGTGTGTGGATGTGTGTGTTGTATATGGGCTGACTATGGATGCTATAGCCTACGAGGATTACAGGGTGACACAGGTTCATATTGATCCCCTGTGATGTGACTCAGGACAAAAAAAAAAACAAAACAAAAAAAACACCATACACACCTTTTTTTTTCAGATTACTTCTGTTTTAATCTGATACTTTATAATTACCAATAATTTCATGTTATTTTTATTTTGATTTTTTTTTCTTATTACTCGCATAGTAAATTGTGCCTTTGGGTTAAACACGGGAACTTTATTAAATATGTTTATTTTTAAAAGAAAACTTCTATACTAATATGAACATATCTATAGTCTGAATTAATTGTTTTGGATTTACATTTAGAAAATGTCGTATATAATAAACATCTTTGTAGACATTATGCTAAATTAAAAACTGTAATTTTGGTGAGAAAAGAAGTATCTTTTCATTTATGAGAAGTTCAACTTTTCCCCGCACTTGTGCACTTTATTAGACTTCAGTCTCTTAATTTGACCAAATCTGAAAATGTAACAAAGTGATTAATCCTGTGGACTTTTTGGCACATTTTGTTTGTACTAGTTCCATTTAGGGAGAAAGTATAATAAAGTACTCCCTTTCATTAGAGGTGAAGTTGAACACAGAGCCAATAAAAATCTAAAATACTGCAGTGACTTGATGAATTGGCTAGCTAGGTTAAGGTCATAAAACAAAACATGTAAGTGAAATGACGTACTTAGAACTGATCGTTCTTTTGTGTAACTTTTACATTTTGAGAAGTTAAATTATCCCAAATTTGCTAAAAGCAGTTATTTCTCATTTTCTCCCCTGAAAAATGTGAACCGGCGACGTGTTCCAGCGTCTGAGGCGAACGGTGCTGATTCTCCTGGAATAGGCCGGCGTTCTCCAGTTTTCATTTTCCAATCACATCCTCTCTGTGCTCAGTCCACGCCACATCTCCAGACAGTATGGATGGCAGCTGAGACAAAGCCCAGCATTCTCCAGCACAGAGGGCCCCCTCTTACTTTTATTTCAGGCCACTGCTCTCAGACACAGACCATTCTGAGCCGAGCACCCAAAGATGGCAGCCAGAAAGGGAAGGAGAAGAGAAAAGGGAACGAGGTAGGCCCGAGAAGGCTGAGGGGGGACGTGTGGAAAAAAGTGGGCGGAGGCTCTGGCGAGAACCAAAACTCGCTGCCATCCTCACTACCTGATGGTTACTCCGGCCTGTTTCCACCCCCCTCCCCTTCACCGTGCTGCAGTGCGGTACCACGCCCCACTTTGTACTGCAAAAAAAAAAAAAGAAAAACTTAAAATTGGACACACACAAGGACAGCTGAGTCAGTCACTCTGAGTAGATTGCATTCAAACTTCGTTCTGGGTGCAGAAAGTTCTGTTAAACCCCCATAAAGCTCAGTGTAGGTGTTAAACCTGCATGGTAGTTCAGAGCTCGGCCTGGCTTTGTTAGGCCTGACCCCCTGTAATTTTGTGGCTTTCATTTGAACTCTTGTTTAAATGTATGGTAAAAAATTTAATTTTGTGAAATGATTTGGAAACCTTTTCCACCTATATAACCTGCACTAATACATCAAATGTGTTAGTAAATGTATTATAAATGGACGTATGTTTAAATTAGTACCTTATTAAACTAGCTTAGTATTTGGTCTTCTTGAGGGCACAACTAGCATCTAATTGAGATGGTGATTATGGAGAATCCCACACATTAGTAGATGTATAAAAACATATTTGAATGTTCACACAGATGTGTGTGTGAATAGATATACATACGTGTGTACTCATCCATATGGATATATAGAGGCAGATGTGCGTGTGTGAATGTGTGTGTATGTGTTCATATGGGTATTTATAATTGTTTTTGTTGAACAAAGGGGTGAAGGACAATAAGCTACACTTCTTCTCACTCCTTTTTTAATATGTCAGCTATTTTTATTTTTTATTTTTTGGCTATGCTTCCTTAAGTCTTATTTGATATTGTGAAATGTATGCTGTACTGTAATAAGTGCGAACTAAATATTTACATATTCAAAGTAAATCAATTTGAAATGTAGTGAATCTGATGTTGATTTAGGATCCTTCATTTGATCTCGAGGAACTGATTGTACAAAGGTATCAGTCAGGAGATGGGTACAAAAAACGTTCTGTACGTACCATGAAACAGTGACTGCAGCCATCTGTTATTGAAGGAAGTACAGAACAATGGGGACATTACAAAAACTGGACTTTTCTCCAAAACAGGTTAAAAGTCGAGACAGCAACTGTACAGTGGGGCGACCAAGAGGCACCAAAGAAGCTGCAGGAATTACTGCTGGTCTTTATGTTGCAGCAATCTCCTGCGATGTCAATATGTCTAGGCTGAGGAGCAGGATTACAAGACACACATAGGTCTCCCAAAACCCAGTGGAAGGTTGTTGAACATCTGGGCCATAGTGTCTGCGGGTAAGTTTTCCACAAACAACCACTGGGAATCATGGAAAGAACACCATTCCCACTAAAACACGGTGGTGGGAGCATCAGACGGAATACAGGATTTTGTCATAGCAGGCGAAGAGTTATGAATTGTTCCAAATATCAGTTTTGGTTGAAAACCTTTAAGGGTCGGATAAAAACAAGCTAGAAATTAATGACACTGCATAAAGTAATTAATTTCATAAAAATAATAGAATGACTTAGTAATAGAAAAATAAGACAAAGTTCAGTATTTAGATATGTGGTCTTAGCTTAAGGGGACTCAAGACAAGAGATGTGCTTACAATCAGACAGATTTGGAGAACCTTTGCCAAGGACATGTCAAAAAGTCAATATCTGAAATCCTCCTACCTGTTATGCTTTCCTCCTTCACACAGATGTGATATTTTTAAGCTAAACAGTACAAGATTAATATTAAAAGGTTATGGAACAATTTACTATGATCTCATTTTGTTTCATTGCCTTTAATAGGGTAGCCCGAGACTACTGAGAGCTTGATCGCTGCATGTCAGAATTAATTCATGTATGCACTCACGACTGTTAATAAAACCTTTCCAAGAGGACCCACGGTTGGATGAGCATGCATGTTTTCACAGCAACGCTCTGTTTGAGGAACGATAACAGCTTTTCCCTGAACCTTCTCGGAAACAAAAAAAAGAAGGACCTCCGAAGGTCAGCTAGGGCGACCGAACCTCCCAGAGGTCTAACATCCATCAGAAGCGTGAGAAACCGTGCCCACGTCGCTGTCTGAAAGCGAGGCTGTGGCGGTGCTATCGCCTTATTATCAGCAGAGACATAGTTGGGCAGTGTGTGTTGTGGCTCGGTTGCCACAGGTAACAGGTCAATGATTACAGAGAGGGGTGACCGAGGGTGTCCTCAAGCTGGGGTCAGAGGGATAACAGCGGGCCCATGGCTGCAGCTGCCAACTCCTGGGCTGTGCTCTCATTAGAGTCATATCTGCTTCGTACCCGTTCCCTGGCGGATGTAGATTTGAAGTAATCTTTTACTTTATCAAACTACAGGAAATAATATACAAACTTCTTTTAGTAGCTCTGACTGTGAAGGAAGCAAAAGATTAAGGGTATGGTAAGAAGGCCCTGCAACTTCAAGACAATACAGATATCTTGTGCTGCTATGTTTCTGAGTTACACGAGACAAAGAGGTGAGACAACAACAGAGTAAATACCAAGGTGAAAGCAATCTGGTTGTCAAGCTAACTCAAGTGGGCTGGTTGCATTCTGAATGCAGGCTTGCAGAGATACATACATTAAAAACTCGCAATCAGAAGCACTTATTTGGATAAAAGCACCAAAATTTCATTCTAGTCACGTTTGCCTTAGTGTAACCCAAGGATAACCTATATCTACAGGAAAGCTGGTTGTGTGTTTCATAAGTTGAGTACTCATCAATAGGACAGCTATTTTTAGGTGATATATGGGATCAGTCCACTACTACTTTTTAACTTCCCAGATAGCACAGAATGATTGAAACAACATT